GAGTGGCGGCTCACACTCTCCTCTTCCTGCACGGAGGGAGAGCAGCGGAGAGAGGGACCAGGGAGCAGCAGCCGCCACGCTGGGCACAGGGAGGGCTCAGGCGAGCACCCAGGTCTGCAAGGCCTGAGCCCAGCCGGCCCCAGGGACTGGCAGGCAGGGCGCCAGGAGAACACGTGGCACCCGGACTTCCCACTTTCTCCCCTGGGTACCGGAGGCGCCCACAAGCGGGGGCCTCTGCCGCGTCTGGGCTCCCCCAGGCCGTCTGACACACAAACCCACAGAAGAAAAGGGAACTTCGGGAAGTGACCCTGCCACCAGTTTCAGTCCCGTTCTTAGTCTGCGGGTGGGGGTGGGGGGTGGAGTCCACACCTCTGGGGACCAGAGCTGCCACCTCGGGGGGAGCCCAGGCAGCACCCCCAGAGCACAGGTCCGGGAGGACCCACACGGGCCAGGGCCAGAGCAGGAAGGGCTCGGGCGCCCCCAAGACCAGCCCCAACTCGGTGAGTGGGTCGCAGGGAGCAGAGAGGTGGGGTCCCGGCAGCAGTGGGCACTCCCAGACCCGAGCTGCCGAACAGGCCACCGGAGGGAGGGGAGAGCAGCCCCCTACACGGGGCCCGAATAGCAGAGCCAGCACAGGTGAGGGGGCTGCCCCACACCCACGGAGGCTGACTGAGGCCCCGGGGACCGCCGGGGTCCCTCGAGGAGCCAGGAAGGACAGGCCCCAGCCGCGCCTGCGGGAGCTGAGCGGGCGCGGGGCTGCCAGGACGGGCGGCACGGCCTGAGCTGAGGGTGCAGCACAGGGGAGGAGGACAGAGCCAGATGCCCACAGGGCCAGTCTAGGCCACAGGAGCCGGCCCAAGTAGGGTCAGAGGTGGTCCTGGGGTCCTCGGCTGCAGCCAGGGCCAAAGGCAGCAGGAGAGGTGGGAGCAGAGCAGGGAGGCCCCAGGCTGAGCAGGCGGTGGCACAGGACCAGCGCTGGGCTCAGAGCTGGCTGGCAGGGCTGCGGTGGGCAGAAGGGGGCCCAGCAGCAGCGAGGAGGGGCGGAGCTGTGCCAAGGAGGCATCGAGATTCCAGGCCTGGGGGCTGGGGGGGGGGCCATAAGGGTCTGACAGGGAGGGGCAGAGACCAAGCAGAGCCACAGGATGGAGGAGCAAGAGTCCAGGAGAGGCTTCCGGAGCCGAGCAGTGGAGGAGGGCTGAGCCCCAGCATCCAGGAGCCCGTGAGGGAGGGATCTAGGGCAGAAGAAGGAGGCTCTGCTGGGGAGAGCTGGCTGCAGAGAGGGTGGGGACCTGTGGGTCCAGGAGCAAGCCCAGCAGGACAGCAATGAGACCCGGAGTGGAGCCCAACCTCGCAGAGGGTGCTGGGAAAGGCAGGAGGACCTGGGGGCAGCTCCCGGGAGCTCAGGGGACCAGGGCAGAGCAGTCCCAGGTCAGCAGAGCAGGTGGGAGGCAGGAGGAGCAGGGGCAGCTCCCGGGAGCTCAGGGGACCAGGGCAGAGCAGTCCCAGGTCAGCAGAGCAGGTGGGAGGCAGGAGGAGCAGGAGCAGCTCCCAGGAGCTCAGGGGACCGGGCAGAGCAGTCCCAGGTGA